TTAGAAGGAGCAATTGCACTTGTAATCGCACTGAAAGATTCACTTGATACAGTTTCGTGCTCAGGTGAAGCTACAGTATTTTTGACTGCAACATCAAGTTGCTTCCAAAGCGCAAGTAAACCAGTGGTCTGTGGTGTGCCTACATTAATACGGCTCATGGGTTTTTCCTTTTGAAATTGAAGAATATCTTCACATATAATTAATTAGGTAAATATATGCTGTAAGTTTTGTTTTAAAACGAAACTCCAGAAGAAAACCTTTTGAATGAACTACAATCTCGGTCTCATGATTAACTTAAACGATAATTCAGATTGTCTTCTGTAGAAAAACGTATATCCTAACATAGAATATCTATAATTAAATTCGCCCACAGGCTTAATAAAACATAGAAGAAGGATTTTACTCACAGTATAATAATAAATAACTGTTAATCTTGATTAGTGCTTTTAGACAACAAGAACCTTTTTATTTCTTTTGACCTACTTAATAGATCCAAGTAAAAGAAGGATTTGTTGACCGATATGTTCTAAATCATCTTGAACGCCATAAATCCAATCTGAGATATTTTGACCTATTTCAATTGCACTAATTTGATTCAGTTCATTGACAACATCAATTGAATCTATGATAGAATCTTTTAATTGCTTAGCTTGGGCTGATGTGATTGGTTCTTCCAATAAAACTGGGTTTGGTTTTATGGCAGTTGTAAACTCACATGTATGGTTCGAAATATTTGGTTCGAAAACAGCATTGCCTAATTTCTTAACTTTCGATAAGCAACCAAACATGCGTGTAACTTCCAAATGAAACATTGTTTCAAAGCTTTGACTATCGAGCTTGCCACTATGTAACTTCGCGATTAAATCCTTTAAATTAGCATAGTGATCTTTTAATGGCTTTAAAATACTCTTTGCTGTGGTTTGGTAATCTTGACAAAATTTAACAATATTATTTATTCGGTTAGTATTACCTAAAAAACCTACATCCACCTGTACATTTAACGGTTCTCCCGATAACTTGTTGGCTACTTTAATTGCGACAAAGGATTCTTTCAACTTTTCAATGTCATTTGGGGTTGTATTTTCATTGTCTTTCTTTTTACGACCAAATAAAGGACCGAAATCAAACATATGCCCTTCGTTCGAAACAGTTGGCTCATCCAATTGTTGTTGGGACTTCTTTCTATATAGTGGTTCAAAATAACCTTCCAACGAAACGTTATTCTTGCCATCTATAGAAAGACGGATTACCTCTTTATACATTTCTGTTGCAAGCACATCATGGATGTTTACCCCATAGCGGTGAAGGAAGCCCATGAGTTTTAAAGAGATTTTTTTCTTTGTCTCTTGATCATTTGCAAGGGGTTCAGATGAGATTGTCGCACCAACAATCTGAGGGGTAATGTTGAACAATTCAAGGTACTGGATATCTGCTTTAGGATCTCCAAAGACATCGACATAACCACTCATGCGACGAGCTTCACCGCGACTTCTTAGCAAATTGAATAAGTCTGGGTTTTTCTCCGACAATGAACCATTGTTATTTAGAAGATCGATCTTTTGTAATCCGATTTGTTCTGGGCTTGGGTATATATTTTTAGCCATTCCGTCATCGTATAGATCGTTCAATAGAGAGAGAGTGGATGCAGTTTCAACACCGAAGATTTCACTGACTTGTTCCAAATCAGCCAAAACAGAAAGTGGCTTATCTTGGAAGATAACCATTTTGTAAAGCATCGGCGGTACAAAACAAATCTGTTTAGAATTAATCATTTTATCACCATTTTTGAGCATTAGGAGTATTGCGTGGATACCAAGCTGTTACTGATACGTATCGTCACATTATTGTTTTTAGAAAGTCAGTCAAGCAGTGCCGCGTCTTCAAGTAGAACAATTGCTAAACTTGCATTAGAGCACATCAATCTACCTACAGGAACAGGCACAGCTGACTTTAGTAAAGACTCTCAAACACGAATCAAAGATATCGTTGCATGGATGTTGGAGCATCCAGAAGACCACACCTTTGATAAGGCAGACTTACTGCAGCGTCTAAGAATGGCAACTGAAACAGATGACTTCTTATTCGATGCAGCCTCGACTTATATCTCTCCAGAACAGACACATGAAGAAGTTCTGAAGGTGATACAAACCAACCGTAATGAAATCAACCAGTACATTAACAAAGCCATTGTCACAAACATCGTAAAAGATGCATATCACAAAGCTGCATTTAGACCAGATGAAGTTGACTGGTCAATGTATGTCAAAGAACTGACGAACAACTTAGAACCTTATCGTGCGATAACCTCACACACAAAAGACGACACTTTAGTCTCAGCCATCAATCTAACTGACCCAGAATCGATGGCTGCGGCGTATAAAGAAGGCTTAAAGCAGATCTCCAATGAAGGGGTTATCCGCTTTGGTTGGCAAGGCTTTAACCGTATGTTTGGACAGCAAGGCGGTGGTCGTCGTGGGGAGTTCATTGTACTTGGTGCACTCCAGTCTAACTTCAAGTCTGGTACTTCTCTAGAGATGGTTAAAGCTGCTGCTTTATATAACAAGCCATACATGCTAGACCCAAACAAGAAACCATTGATTGTTCGATACTCATTGGAAAACCCTGCAATCGTAGATATCATTCATATCTACAAATCAATGATCGAACAAGAAACCAAACAACGTATTGATGAAAATACAATCGACCCAATCATTGCTGGACGTTATGTTGCAGACAAGATGCGTTCTAACGGTTATACAGTTCATTTTGAACATCACAATCCATCTGACTTTACTTATGATAAACTCTTTGACAAATTAGATGCTTTTGAAGCCGAAGGCTATGAGATCCATTTACTCAATATTGACTACCTTGCAATGATGAGTAAGAAAGGATGTAATGCTGGTGCTACAGGGCAAGATATCCGTGATCTATTTCGTCGTGTACGTAACTATACAGCACAGCACAAGATCCTCTTTATTACACCACATCAGCTCTCTGTGGATGCGAAGAAGAAAACTCGCGATGGTGTAATTGAAGGTGACTTTGTACGTGAGATCGCAAACAAGGGTTATTGGGATTCATGTTCTACAATTGACCAAGAAGTAGATATGGAGATCAACCAACATCTCGTGAGGGTAGGTAACGTCACCTTTGTTACATGGATGCGTGGTAAACATCGAAAGGCAGGTTCACCTACGCCATTTGAAGATTACTACTGTGTTTATCAGTTTGGAGAGTTTGGATACATTCCAGACGATATATATACCGCCGATCAATCCCGTAAGTCTGTCGCATCCAAACCTGGTGCGGGTGTAGATGGAGAAGCGGACTTTGATCTTTGGATGGAAGCTGCGTAAACGAAAAAAAAAATAGATAGATAAATATTCTCCCACATGTAACAGCCAATAAAATAGTAAAATGGCTGAATTTCTTTGATATGCTGTTTGAGCACAACATAGCAAATGAGAGGGAGTGTAATTGATATGAATAAAATCAGAGCTTGTTTCATGCTATTCTCAATCCTGCTGGATTTTTAACGGTAGATTTTCCATTAATATAATCGTTGAGTTTACGCAGTCCATCAATGATATCTTTAGAAAGTTCTGTTACATTGCGAAAGAAAAGAACGATGTCTTCACCTGAGAAGTAAGGACTCCCTAGACGATAGCCTGGAAAGAAAGAAAGGATTTTACTAAATGTAAGTTCTGAATCTGCTGTAAGGCAGAATATTACTTTACCATTTGCAACCTGAGCAATAATATTTTCTAGATATAGATCTTTCATGAGGTTTGTTCCTGTCTGAATAAAAGGTTGGGCTATGGAATCCTAAGACCCCATAGCTTATAGTTGATTACTTAGTGGCTAGCGGGTATTCCTCTACCACAGATTTTTCATTCTTTTCGATGCGTTGTAACTCTCTGTAAGAATTGTAACCACGTGCCATTACAATTGCAGACCCAGACCACTGAATTAGGTAATTCAAGCGTTTTACATTCTTTGCCATTTCTGGTTTACCTGTACGATATGCAGTGCACTCTAGGATATAGAAAGTTCCAGCAATATTACCCACTTTGCTAAATTCATTGCCCATATTAGTTATAATGCCTTTTGCAATATAATCTTCCGTAACAGGCAATGAAGCTTTCTTGGCTAGATGTTTGTGACTTTCTGCAAAGTTAATGATGTCTGTAAGTTTCACTACAGCATTTTCTACTTTAGCATTGATTGTAGCTTTGATTGTGTTTAATAAAGTTTTCATAATAGTTCCTATTGATATCAGAATAAAAGATTGTTAAAGAATAAGATTTCATTACCTTATTCATAATGGTAGTATGTATTTGAAATAAAATAGATTTAGAAAAAAAAAAGATAAAAGAGCATAAACACTACTAGGGACATCCCTAGTAGTGAAATGTTTAATCTTTAAAACCATCGACAAACTTATCCAAGAATTCTTGAGTGTAAAAGTCTTCAGGCTTAAACCCGCCGACAATATTGTTGGCAGCGAATTTAACTATATCTCCCCATACGCATATTGTTCCGATATAAATTGTTGTGAGGATTAATTCGTTTTCATGGTCTCCTTTTAAAAATGACATTGTCACTACTTCATTGTCACCTGTGCGATATGTAAAACGAATCGTTGAGCCTTGGGCATTGATGAATAACTCACGATCTTCTTTGGTGATTACCACCTTTTCATCAATCCGATATTGGAATGCAGTTGCCAAACCGCGCAAATAACTAACATAGCAGAAGACCATATATTTTCTAATTGCTTTTGGTAAATGAAAAGGACAGCTATCGGCAATTTCTTCATCTGTTCGATCTAGATGCACTTCAATTGACTTTATAATCTGCTCGAAATTTTTTCGTGTTTCGTTCGATCCAGACATTTTTTTATTGAAATTAATAATATTCATTTGTTTTTTCCTAAAATAAAAGTTTGAAAATGTCATAAGACTCTACTCTCCTCTATGGAGAGTAGAGAATAGAGATTAGAATGTCATGTTAGGATTTACAGATGCAGCTAAATCTTCAGGATCATCCGTTACAGTCGCTTCAGTTGTCAATACAATACCTGCAACAGATACCGCATGTTTCACTGCAAGGCGAGTTACTTTAACTGGATCAATTACACCTGTTTCTACAAGGTCGACATATTTGCCAGTGTAAGCATCATAGCCAAAGTTAAGATTAGGTTCTACATCTTTGGTACGCTGAGTGATAATGTTGTTGATTGTTACATCACCATTTTCCCCTGCGTTTTCAGAGATGCTGATAAGTGGTTTTGTAATTGCTGCAATAACCAAGTTAAAACCTGCACGAACATCATCGTTTGCAAACTTAGATGTATCGTAAGACTTTAATTCAATAGATGCATTTAACAGTGCAGTACCACCACCAACAACGACGCCTTCTTCAGAAGCTGCTCGCGTAGCTGCGATTGCATCGTCTACACGGTCACGACGTTCTTTGATTTCAATTTCTGTAGAACCGCCAACACGAATGATACCAACACCGTTATTGAGTTTAGAATAGCGAGTGCGAAGAAGTTCAAGATCATATTCTTTTAATTCTTCATTTGCTTTTTCCATAGCATCAATATTTGCTTTGATGTCAGCGACGTATTTATCAATTGCTTCAGTTGTACCACCACCACCAACAATCAATGTTTTCTTTGCAGTCACATTTAAGTTTTTGATAGTACCAAGTAAATCAACTTTTAGATCAGATGGCTTGTGAATGGCTTTAGAGTAAACTGTAGCGCCAGTCAATACTGCAATGTCATTTAACTCGTATGTGCGATTGATACCAAAGCTAGGTGCTTTTACAAGACATGCATTTAAAATGCCTTTGGCAACGTTGTGCGCAAAGAAGTTAATGACCTGTGGATTGAAGTCATGTGCAAGGATAACAATTTGCTTTTTACTTTTTGCTGCATCTTCTAAGATACCTTGAACTTCAGGAACAGTGTCCAGTGAACAATCCATCAATAATACAGAAACATCAGTGCCTTCAAATGCGCCACTTGGAGCAAAGTAAGGTGATAGATAGCCACGGTTGAATTCTAAACCTTCCACTACTTGAATTGATGTTTCAGAGTTGATAGATTCTTCTACCTTTACTGCACCATCAATACCGACTTTATCCATAAGTTCTGCAATGGTATTACCTAAGAACTCATCGCCATTTGTTGAGATTGTTGCAATGCGACGGATTTGTTCTTGAGTCGTTACAGGAGATGACTGATATTTGAGTGACGAGTAAATAATCTCTGCTGCATTGACCATGCCACGTTGTAAGTCAATTGGTGCAGCGCCACCAACAATCAACTTGTGACCTTGGTTGATCATTTCACCTGCTAACACTGTCGCAGTTGTTGTACCATCACCAGCTTGTTCGTTTGATTGAGCAGAAGCTTGTTTGACCAATTGAACACCAGCATCTTTGAGCTTGTCTTTGAAACGAATTGCACGAGCAACAGTTACACCATCTTTAGTGACATGTTGAACACCAATCGAATCGGTAATTAATACATTTCGACCTTTAGGACCTAATGTAACGGCAACTGCTTTTACAAGTTCGTTAATGCCACTGATAAGTTTAGTACGAGCTTCTTGACCAAAGTCTAATACGCGGTTTTGCATTGTGGTTACTCCGATTAAATATCTCTTAAAATGTATGTTGGTATTTTCAGGATGATTAAACTAAACGTTCGACGACTGAAAGGATTGTATCGCGTTTGACAACTGAATATAGTACACCATCGATTTGTACTTGTGGATGCGTTTCTACGTCAGAGATTACAACAATTGGTTTACCTTCAAAGATTGCATCAAACTGATAGTAATCGTCCATTGAAAGAATTCCAGCAGTTTCGCTTGTGCGTGCGGTTGCAATGATTGCTGAACCAAGTTCTAAGTTGTTTGGTAAATTTGACATGTGTTAACTCCGAGTGTTTGTCATAAATGAAACACTTTCTATAAAAAAGTAATCAAGGATGTTTGAGTATTTCTAGATACTACTCATAATGGTAATATGTAGTTAAAATATCTTTGTTTCGTTTTGACGCACAAAAGTAAAAAGACTCCTACGACAAAAATGGGTGTTGTCGTAGGAGTATAAAACCACATGCGCTGTACAACCAAATGAGGCAGATTACTCAGATCGCTCAATGGCGTGGAATATAGCCTCATGAATTGTATCGACATGCTGGCGGGCATCGATGACAACTACGTTGGTGTACTTTCTCGCATAAGATATATACTTGTCTCGTAAAAAATTAAATTTGTCTTTATCCTGAACCAATTCATTTTCCATGTGATCTCGGTCTTTAAACTCTTGACGTTTGACAAATGAAGCATGATCGATGTCTAAGATGATAACAAGATCTGGCTGTTTGATTTCATTGTTCAAGATAATTGCTTCTGGAAATTCTTCCATTGCACCTTGATAGACGATTGAAGAAATGTTTGTTCGATCACTGACCACCCATTTACCTTCTTCCAATGCAGGCAAGATCTTCTTGGTCAGTCCTTCACGATAACTGGCTGCAAATAGACAGATGCGCGTGAAGTTATCCAAGTCCTTTGAAAATGGTTGATTGAGAAGAATGTCCCGCATTGCTAGACCTGCTTCTGTCGAACCTGCTTCACGACTATAAATCCACGGTTGATTGTTTTCATCCAGACGATTTGTTAATTTCTTTACCTGCGTAGATTTACCGCTACCGTCCATACCTTCGATTGTAATGTACATTGGTTTTTTCATTAATTAGCTACCGTTGATGAGTTAGTTATTTTGCTCTGATCAACCTCTGCAGAAGGATCTACACGATTGACAAAGAGCGTAAGTAGTGCAATGGTCGCAAAGGCGTTTTCACCTTTGTTCTGATTGGGCTGATAATCCATAGTCTCTACAGCGAGCAATGTACCGTAGATTTCTTTTACCTTGTCGCCATCGGTATATAAATATCGAACTGGCATACATGGGCTAAGTACATTTGGGTCAGCATTTTCCCATTGGGTCTGAATAATTGCACCTGATTTTAAAGCCATCTGAGTATAGACTTTATTAAAATCATTGGTAATTACTCCACCTTCGGAAGTAAACATATTACCATCATTGCGTTTTTCACTGTAAATAAAAGAGCCGACATCTTTTAAATTGGCAACTGCCTTATTATCCCCTTGTTTGTAGATCCCATCCATAATCTTACTGGCTTCAACAAAAGCAGCCGCATTACCTTGGTTGAGTTGCTTTGTCTCGGAGATGTCATAGTGCTTGGTTTCTCTCGTAGTGAGTAGAATGATCTGCGAATCTGTCGTTCTGAATGTTTTCTCCAAAGAAGGCATTCGACCAGAAGGGATACGAATTACAGTCAATGTTTTCTTTGCACTATTAAATCGTTTTGTGTCGTACGGGGGATAGATAAACCATTTTTGATCTTGCAGGTAATAGTGGAAACCTGTTGCATAAACACCACCAACAAGATCATTGATAAGAAATGGACATCTAAGGAGTGGTGTCATTTCATTGATAGGGATATGTTCTCGAACTTCGTCTTTATATCCACTAACAATATCAATCCCCTTGATTGAATTGTTATCTGGTGCAGTTGACGGACATGCCATTTTCATTAGAATATATCCAATTGCTTCCATTGGTTTATTCTTTCTAAAGACTGTGCGGAATGTCTTTTTACGAATATAATCGATGACAGGATTGTACAGCTGTAATTCAATTGATTGAATAGCGACTGTCTGTGCAGCTTCCTGATTGAGCACCAATGGGCTATTTCCCTCAATCATTGCTGACTTGGAGTTAATCAGGTGAGCATTGTATTTACTTGTCGATACCGACTTGTTCATATTCTGCCCACCCATCTGACCACTACCCAAAGGTCTTTTGATCAGGGTGACTTCTAAGTTTTCCTTGTACGGTGTAATGTACTTCATGACATCGAGAGGAACAAAGGCGGCAGAGATAGAAAGCTGATCACCAAAGTTTTCGGCATAGTGTCTATCTAATTTTAGATGATCAACATACATCGGTCGGATCTCTCGACCATTGGCATGTACGACAATCTCCCATCGATGTCTACCAACAATAATTCCATTTAGACTGATTTGGGCAAGCTCATTACTCACCAATGTATCGAGAATTTCCATTAGTCGTCTAAACCTCTACTTGACCAGAACTCTAGCAATGGAGAAACGTATATTGCACTGGCTTGTTGCGAGTCTCCACCGCTGTTAATTTTGAATCGTTTAGATTCGGTGAATGTACCACGGAAATCTGCAAACGGATCATCATCTATATTTCCAGTGATTGCGCGCTCTGCTAAATCTTCGTGAAGAATAAAACGGTTGGCAGCATAAGCCAAATGATCTGCTAGATTGTTGAGCATGAGTAGATCTTCATCTGGTGGTGGATTTCTACCAAATGGAGTTTGCATTTCCTCTACCCAATTGGCTAGGTGTGCTTTGACCAACTGAAAACTTTTAACCAACTGACGCATGTCTTTGTAATAGATATCCGAACCTTGATCCAAAAGCATAGCGATTCCTGCGGTACTTCTCAATACAGTGGTATGTCCTGTTTGAAATTTGACTTCTTCTTCCAAGTTACCATGCATCGATAATGGGAATTTACGGGTGTACTCTGGGGGATAGATAAACCGAGTCGATACATCTACCTGCATCATTTCATGGAACAATGCATAGGCGACTTCTGATCGTGTCATGATAGTCCTCTTATAGTTTCTTTAATAAGACAGAACAATGGAACAGCAAAGTAGAACTGTTCTAACTTTGGCAATTTGTAAAACGCTTTGACAAATCGATAGACCAAATCTGGCGATACAGATTCCTGATGTATCATCTTTCTCACTGCCAATTCGAATAACGTACATTGTTCCAGATCCTCATTGTAGAAGTGTTCTGTAAAAATATATGTTTTGTTTGTAACTGCAGGAAAGATGTTTTCATCGTCTTCAAACTGTCCAGTGTTAGGAAACCCTAATACATCTCCATAGAGAGCATTGGTCAAGCGATCATCAAAGTCTGGATCATCATTGGGTGTTGATGGTACAAGGATATATTTAAATCCACTATAACGAATCGATCCTTGATATGGGCTGGCAACAAAGTTCTTGACGCTAACTAACTTGTATTCGCTAAACAAGCCATAAAGCTTTGTCGGATCTCGTTTGATAATCGCATCTAAGACACTTTCAAATTCAATCAATCTAAAGTCATCGCAATTATATTGAATTGCATTTCTTAGTCTAGGGGATTCGTCAGGTGAGATGACTGCTACGGCTGCGCGAGTTACGTATAAATCGTAGACTGGCGTGTCTTGATCGATGCGAGGTGGCGTTAAACAGCTCATAGAGCGAGAGAAGTGTTTTGACACCCAGTAATGTACCAGTTGAAGATATACTTCGCCTAGTCGCTTGTAATCATGATAATCCGATTCTGCAAGTAATGGCTTCTGACCTAAAATGAGTAGGTCTTTTTCATAGTAGCTCGTATATGAGATCTTAGCATTGATAAGTTTCTCAATGCGACTATCTACAATACGGTCTAATTTAAAGTCTACGGTATAAACAGTCCCACGATTCAATGTATTTTTCTGAATATGGGTAACTGTAAATTGTCCAGCTCTACCCTCACCGATATCCGCAACAAAAGAATCGTACTGATTTGGAATTAAACCAGGAATAGATGGAATGATTAATGTACCAGACAAAGACATTCGTCCAGAGTCTGTATCATCAGCAGGACTCAAAGAACCTTGTAGTTTGACAATAAGATTCTTGATATAGTGATACATCTGGTATGTATTTTGCTGAGCAACGTCGAAAGGTTTGAGAGATTCGTGTTGGTTTTGAATCTGGCTCATCCAATCGACTTTCCAATTAGACCCTCCGATATAGGCAATGATTGGTTCGAGTGCCATTTTCTCGGAGGTAACAATTGAATGCTTGTATTCAGAAGTTGCAATTTGAACTTCTGATTTCTTTTCATTTATTTCTAGATTGGGTGCAATTGGCATGATTTATCTACCGTTAAAAATAGGTCATACCATGAATGGTGCGATCAGTTGAAATAATTGTCAAGTAGCGTTAATACTGCTTCTGTATTGACTTTTCCTTTTTTAACAATTTCCTCGACGATATCATTGTCACGATGAGGCTCTAAGAAAAAATACTCCAAGTCCAAATATGCCCCATCTACATTGATCGACATAAACTTACCAGGAGCACCGTCGAATACCTTTTGCATGTTGGATTTTACAAAGTCGGGATCTCTATTTGAAATCTCAGGGATAGTGCTCGTTAGTGCAATATGAAAGTTTAATTGTTCATTACCTTGTAAGTTTAAACCTTTCCCAATCTTCTCCACATTCAATGAAATCCCATTGAGTAGAGTTCCTAGTTTACTTCCCGCAATTGTGCTATGTGAAGGATTACCATCAACGTACGTATCGATAAGTATTGTGGTAGGTAGGTTTGACACATCCTTGGTTACATCAGCAAATGCATCGTAAACTTTAGAAATGACATTTAAAGGATTGGCTTTAAAATCGTTATAATCAAAGGCAATAAAGTTAGCAGGTAAGATACGTGTCTTTGATAAAGTTTCATCTTCACGATGACGCATGTATCGAAATAGTAATTCAATGGATAGTTGGCGTCTAGGTAGAGGGATGTGAATCGCTCCCAATATATGGCGATGTGATAATGCATACGTAGGACATTTCTCAATGTTATCCTTTGTTTTGGTCGATCCTCGCTCAGAAAGTTTTTTGATGTTATAAACAATTCTATTTTTGATCAGCTTGGGTGGAATCATCTTAAATTCTGGATTCGTCTCATCGTCTAATATGATTGTATACTCTACCATTGTTGTTTCCGTCTTAGGAGTTGAAATCATATCTAAAGCAAAAGAAATTTTATTTTAAAGACATAAGGTTTAATGGAGAGGGATGTCCCTCTCCATGTACTTATAATGCTTTGTCGATTGAGTTTAGTGTGGCTTCCAAGAAACGTGTGTAACGATTGATAGTGCCACCGTACTGAGATGTAATCGAACGAATATATGTTGCGACTTCATATAGTGCGTTTAACATACCTTGTATATCTTCCACTGTTTCGGACGATAAACCAGTGTCATTTACCGCATTTTTATATCTGGAAACAATATCTGCCTCTGCCAATATTTTGAAAACTTTGGAAGATTCTATATCGCTATAAAGGCTTCTTGCATCTGCAATTAGATCATCATTTTGCTTCACCGTAGCCTTAACCATTACTGGTAAAGTTTTATAGTCTAAAGTCAGTTTACAGGTATGTTCCATCCCACGCCATCCATTCTCATGGGTGACATCCTTGAATCCATATTTCGTACTGCGATAACCATTACCACGTAGCATCTCAAATGGAGAAACTTTAACCCCTATAAACTGGAACTTATTATGGTAAAGTCCAGCGAGACGTCCTTTCTTTTTAAAGAGATCGAGTTTGTCTTGATTGAGGCTTCTATCTTCACGTAGAGCATCTAAGACTTCCTTACAACTTTCTTCCAGCGAAGCTAGATCATCCTTTAAGCATTTAGAAAGTATCTTACTATCCGCTTTAATATTTACCAAAGATTCGTCATAGTGTTTTTGACTATAACTAAAATCTAGTTTAGGGGTGTGCTTGCTGCTATGGAACATTGGCAAAGCACCTA